TAACCGCACGTAGATCTTTGCATCGGGCACGCTCTGCAGATTCTCTGCTGCAAAATCGATGTGGCAGTTTCTATATGTAAATGGCAAGAAGAACTCTGGCCGCTTGCAGCACCTCCTCCCCTCAATGCCAGGAGTGAGACTGCTCTGAATTCCCTCCACCCTCAGGTAAAGGTGGCAGGAAGGTATTTGGAGCCTGGGGAAGGAGACGGTCCCCCAGGCCAGGTTCAGGGGCTGGGCGGTTCTGGAATAGTGGGGAAACCAAACTCCACCTCTCCTAGCGCTCCAGGCAGGGAGGAGCTAGGGTTCAAAGACAGGGACACCCTCCATTCTGGTGGCGGTGTCCGAGGGGGGGCTTGGACAATGGGAGTATCTGTGGTGATAATGGGATAACCCTAACTACAGACCAGAGAGCTGTCCTTGGCTTTGCGTCTCATTTAAGCCATGGTTATTTGGGACTTACTGTTATTTGGCAGCTCAGCGTAAGCCAAACGAATTCTCTGCTTGTGGGTCGAATAGCAGACCCAGAGGAATCTGACCTCTCAGCCACATCAAATCCATCACTCCCCAAAGCAGAGGTGGTGGCCCATTTAGAAGCCCCGTGACGGCCATGGATGCTGTCCCAGGAAAATGCATGCATATGAATATGCCCCACCCACACCTCAATCTTCCTCTTCACGTCTATGCCTGGAGCCCAGGCTAGAGATGCAACTCATTACCCAAGTACTCACTCCTCACCACAAGTGACATCAGGCCCCTGTTCTCACTGGGGGGCACCAGAGAGCAGAGGACAAGGTCCCTTCGGTGACACTCATTCTTGTGCGATTTTTCATTTTTGAGTGTCTGCCCCGCGGCAGGCACAGGGCTGAGCGCTGGGGAGAAGGTGATTGAGGAAACCGTGAGTTCTGCCGCACGGAGGAGGCAACATCCGAGCTGCAGCAGTGGATGGGGAGAGTTTTGCCAAGTGGCAAAAGAGTTGAAATGGGGGCCATGTTAGGCAAGGAACTGGGTCCTAGAGATGTGGACAGCCCTTGGCATGCTTAGGGAACAGAGCATGCAGACCGGTGGTGGCCTGACAGAGAATGGCAGGTGATGGGAGGGTCTAGAGAGGAGTCTATGAAGGTGGGCCGTGCCAGCTGCACGGGGCCTTGAATGCCGCACTGAGGATTTTCACTTCATGGTGCAAGCAACAAGGAGCCAGAGAATGACATGATCAGATCTGGCAGTGACGAGAAGGAATGGGGGACAGAAGGAAGGGGATGAGAGGCTGGGAGCTGCGGGGCACTGTCTGGGGGGGGGCAGGTGCCGGCTCTCCCTGGCGGGTGGACCTCACACCTCAGCAAACAGCACCTGGAGCCCCTAATCCAGCAGCTCCCACAACACAGCCCTGCCTCCTGTTGTGTCAGGTGGGCTATCCCCTGCCCTTCCTCCCGCCTCCCCGTATCTCCCTGGCTTGCTCTAAAACAGCCTTTCATTCCAGAATCACAGAGAAACCTCAGATGCAGACACTCCCTGGGGGATCCGACTTCCTCTAATTCACCCTCATACAACAGCTGGATCCAACACATATTTCCTGAGACTCCGCCAGCCCACAAAGCCCTGTGAGGGAGCCACAGAGGAGGCAGACGGGGTTCAGCAATGCACACGGGCAGGGGGACGTGGACACTAAGAACTGCCTTTCCTGCAAAACAGCCTGGGAGGTGTGGGTGTTTTGGGGAACTGAGGAGGAAAGGATTTACCCCTCTGGTTGGAATGGGGGTGGATTAGATTTAGCAAGTCTCAATGGTCGACTCCGGGGTTTAAGAAAAACAGAAGATCTGGGTTTCAGGTCTCTCTCGTAGCCATGTGACCACAAGCAAGTCATTTCGCGTCTCTGAGCCTCTGTCCTCATTTAGAAAGTACAGACCCCACTTACAGTGTTGGGAGGATGACTACAGAAGATGCTGTAAAGGTCAGGGGCGCCTGGGTGGCTCAGTCGGTTGAGCGTCTAACTCTGGCTCAGGTCACGATCTCACGGTTCGTGGGTTTGAGCCCCGTGTCGGGCTCTGTGCGGGCTCAGAGCCTGGATTCGGTCTTCCTCTCTCTCTCCCCTGCCCCCCTCTCGTGCTCTATCTCTCTCAAAAATAAATAAAACATTAAAAATTTATTTAAAAAAGGATATTGTAAATCTCAGAGCCTGGGGATGGGATTATCCGTGTGGTGATCAGGCAGCCTCTAACATGGCCCCCAGTGGCCCTGCCTCCTGGTGTTGACACCCTGTGGAATCCTGTCCTGAGTGTGTTGGACCTAGCGACTTGCTTCTAACCAGCAGAATATGGCAAAAGTGATGGGATGGCACTTCTAAGATTAGGTTACAAGAAGACCGGCCTCTGTCTTGCTCACCCTCTGCTGCTCTCTTGCTTGCCTGCTTTGGTGGAAGCCAGCTACCATGCTATGAGGAGGTCCACGTGTCAGGAGCCAAAGGGGGGGCCTCCTCAAGGAAGTGAACCCTGCTAACAATCACGTGAGAGCTCTTGGAAGCAGACCCCCACCCCAAACAGTTGTTGAGAGGGCTGTAACCTGGCAAGCACCTTGAGAGCAGCCTGTGCAAGGCCTTGAACCAGAGGATGCAGCTAAGCTGTGCCTTGCTTCCTGATCCACAGAAACTCTGGGATAACGTGTGTGTGTGTGTGTGTGTGTGTGTGTGTGTGTGTGTGTTTAAGCTGCTAAATTTCAGGATAATTTGTTATGCAGCAATAGCTAACTAATACAATCAGAGTGACACTGAAACTATTTAGCAACCGGCTCAGTACATGTGCTACCCAACCAGTTAGAACAGATGCTGCCTGGAGCAGAGGCTTGGTGAGCTGCTTGCTAGTGTCCTGGGTGTTCAGGGAAGGTCAGGATGGGTAAGTGGAGTAGTGGGAACTTATTTTATGGAAATACTCACAAAGGGGCATACAAATAGCTGTTTGCAAGAATATTCACTGCAGCGTTATTTGTTGTAACAAAATATTGGGAACTGTAAAGTCTATGTCCAGGGGATTGGCTAAATTAAGGTACATCTATGCAACAGGCTATCAAGTAGCCATTAAAAAGAATGAGGTGTGGGCTGATACGGAAGGATGGGCAGGATATACTTTGTTCAAGTGCAGAACAGTGACATCACATGCCATTCTCTGTGTTAAATATCCAAACGTATACTTCCCTGTAGGCTTATAGCTCTAGAAATAATCGGGCAGCCCTGGTGGCCTCCAGGAAGGGAAATTAGGGGAGAGGGGTCGGGGATGGGAGAGAAACCTGATTTTTTCTATACCTCCTTTTGTATTTTTTGAGTTTTAGACCGGATACATTTATTCATGAAAAAAATATCATTTTATAGATTCCGATAAGGGAGAGCATTCATAAAGAACAGGATGGTAATTCATGTTGACGGCACAAACCTCCAAGGTGTGGTGCATCAAGTGCAAACAGCCGCTCTAGCATGTGACTTTTTGCAGAAGTCACATGAAAGTGCTGTGGTCCTGGCATCTGACCTATGACACACCAGCATCAGGACATCACGTGCTCCTCTTTCTGCACTGTTTGCTACTGTACCAGACGCCCTGCTGGATTATAAAATACTGAGTCGCGTGATAAAGGCTGGCAGAGAAAGATATTCTAATATGGGACTCACAAACTCGACGTGCCAGACATCAGGCCAAACACTTGTTGGACGTCACCGTGTTCATCTTCACAAGTCACTCGCTGCAGGGAGCATGAACCACTTATATCCCCAATTGCCGACAGAGAAATCAGCTCTAAGAGGTTAAGTGACTTGCCAGGGGTCAGATGCTTACGGAGAGTTTGGACTCGAATCCCCGCTTCCAACTCCAGAGCCAAGCCCCTAACACTATACTCAACCTTGCATGTGGCGGCTCCTGGATAAAGACTTCTAACATGAGCCCTTGGTCCCTTCCCTCAGATTTCTGTTAAGGACAGAGGCTCTGCTCAGATGATGAATCCCTCCATATCTTCCTCTTCATCGTATCTCAGTAGCACCCAGAACATAGTGGCCTCGTGCATAGCAGGAACTCAGAGCATGTGTATTGATGGAACTCAACTAACAGATGTAAGTTATGTATGCTTCCCCAGGAAGCCCTGGAGTGTCCAGAAAGGTAGTGCCGTGCCCGTCTACAGGATAGCACTTTGGTGGCTCCCAAGCACATCCTCTCAACCAGCCTGGTGTGGCTAGGGTGGAGTTCAGAATGTTCCTTGGTCCCATCAAGCACCGGCAGGGACAGAGAAGAGCAGACAGGGGTCTCCTGCTTGGGGGTCCTATAGGTGAGACAGAGGGACTTTTGTATACACAGCATAGCAGAAGAGGTCAGGTTCAAAAGACTCTGAGCCAAGGGTTCAGAAGCAATGGATAGTGTGCCTACAGTGCCTCCCCCAGAAGTGAGAATTCAAGACCCCCATGGGGGTGAGCAGGGGATCAGAAGAAGAAAAAGTGCTGTGATGCCAAAAAATATCAGAACTGGAGGAGGACCAGGAAGGAAAAAGCACTGTTCCAGCTACACCCCCATCTTACAGATGAGGCAACTGAGGCTAGAGAGATGTGATTTCCTGAAGTACAGACAGTTAATAATGTGGCTGGGACTGGCCTCCATCCCCTGAACCCCCGGTGATGCTCCTACCACGTGGGGTAGGGATGTAATCATGGTTGTGTTCTGGAAGGACTCAAAAACTCTAATCTGGTGCCTGTGGAGAATTTCTAAGTGGATGTGGTGCTGAGTGGCTCCCCTTCCCCTCCAAACCCAGAGCGTCGCCTCCCACTGGAGATTTCATTGGGAAAAAATGGTTCCTCTGCTTTAATGAAGGAAAATTAGAACTCATTATGTGTTTCATCCTCCTTCAGCGCCCCTCAGCAATCAGCCATCCAGCCACCTCCACCACTGCCAGTCCCCCCGCCCCCAACCCAGTCTGGGTCAGTCGGAGCTCAGTCCAAGCCCGCTGAGCGCTCCACGGGACCCCTGGGGACTCACCTGGTACCTCCGGGGACGGGTTGAGAATCATGAAGGCATCTGACAGGCCTGTTTTGACGGGGTGCTGGGAGGAGCTGATTTCCAGGACAGACATAGGGATCTGCAGCCGGGGAGAAGAGGCTCCATCTACCCCCTCAAAACACCCTTGGACCAGCCTGGACGTCCTCTCTGACCTCCACACCCCTCTGCCTGCTCCGTGCCACCTCTTGGAGGACTCAAGGGCATCTCAAATCCAGTGGGCCCCCATTCAAATTGCAAGTCTACTCCAACCATCTCCAGCACATTTCCTTTTTCTTTGCCATACCTCCACGCAGGCCGGAAACCTGGGAGTCACCCTTTCTTTCATCTCCGCCCTCCTCCACCTCACACATCTCTGATTCCTATTAATTAGCCTGCTAACTGGCTCTTAAATCTGTCCAGTTCTCTCCATCTTACCCTACCCTACTCCAAGCCGGCAACACCTCTCTCTCCAAAACCATCTCCCAACCTTTCCTCTGAGCCACCAACAACCTGTTCTCCATTCTGAAGCCAGAGTGACCTTTCTCAAAGGCACATCTGGGTGTTCTCCTGCCCTGTATTGCTCCCCACTCTCCCCTCCAGTCTTGCTGTCTTCTTCTTATGCTTTGTACCAGCCATGCTCTGTCCTGCCAGAGGACCTTTGAGTGTGCTTTTCTCTCTCTTCTTTGATTCCTTAACTCCTACACATCCTGCAGATTTCAACTCTTTTCCTCAGGGAAGCCTCCCCTGACCTCTGCTCAGGTAAAAAGCCTCATGAAAGAGAGAAAGAGAAAGAGAGAAAGAAAGAAGGAAGGAAGGAAGGAAGGAAGGGAAAGAAAGAAAGAAAGAAAGAAAGAAAGAAAGA